GCACGGTCGGTCACCAGGGCAGCAGCTGCCCGAGCTTCCTCTGGCCGGTCTGCGTCACTGCGGACGACGGGGGGCCCGCCGGGAAGGGGCAGGGACAGCACCCTCGCTGCCTGTGGGCTTCCTGCGGGCTCAGCACTTCCTGCCTTCCCCCGGTCCTTCCTGGCGCCCAGCAAAGGGTCGGCTTCTGAGCTGCCCCCACTGGAGCGGGGTCGGGGGGGGGGGGTGGCCGTTCCCAAGCACCTCTGAGTTGGGGCAAGGTGCCTTCAGCACCCCATGGCTCAGCCCCTCCCCCCGTGGGGGAGCACCCCTGGGCTTCCGTGGGGCCTCCTCGCTGGCCAGGGAGGCTGACCATGGGGACAGGGCCCCAGCTGCCCGTGGTCCTTGCTTTCTCTCTGCGCAGTTCAGCGGGGCCGACGTGGGCATGGGCTGGGGTCGCGGTGAAAAGAAAGGGCAGAAAGGCTGCAGATAACACCCCCGCAGCCGGCGGGACCCCGGGGAAGTGTCCATCCCATCGTCACACACTTTTCTGCTTGGAGCTACCCCGCAGCCCACACCCTCGGGGGAACCAGCAAGATCTAGAAACCCGTGTGCTTCTCCTCCAGTTTGGGTCGAGGGGCAGGACGCAGGGACTGGGCGTGAGAGAACCAGCGAAGCCCTTCCTGCCTCTCACCGGGCGGCCGCCGGCTGGAGCCGGGGCCGGGCCCCCCTTGCTGCAGGGGGTGCAGGTCTGTGCTGGGCCAGGACTTGGGGGGCGGAGCACCCCCCCTCCACCGTGCGGTCCCCGGAGGGCTCCCTGTGGGTGTCAGGCTGCCTTGGTTGAAAACCTGGAGGTCTCAGGGGAGCGACTCGGCCCCAGTGAGTTTAGGGCGGGGCCTCTTCTTCCCAGGCCCGGCCTGGGGCCGGAGGACACACTGGGTAAGTGGACGCTCTGCTCCTCGCTCTCGGGTGCTGGGTGTCACTCCCCCAGAGCCTCCTGGGAGCCGGGCGCCTGCCTCTGAACCCTGGCGCAGGTGAGGGCCCTGGCGCAGGTGAGGGCCCTGGCGCAGGTGAGGGCCCTGGCGCAGGTGAGGGCGGCTGTGCTGGAGACAGGATCCCAGTGGCAGCAGACTGGGGGCATGACTGGGTTTGAGGACCTGGGAGCAGACTGGCCGGGCAGGCGGGGCGCAGCAGGGGCAGGTCGGAGCCCTGTGGTGGCCCCGACAGGAACGGGGAAGGGGTGGCTCTTGACCAGGGTCTGGCAGGTTTCGTCGTGGGGGAGATCTGTACAGAGTGTTGGTGCGTGAGCCGCAGGAAGGTGGGCGTTTGCGGGCCTGCGGGACGGGAGAGGGAGTGGGCAGTTGTCCACGTCCGGGTGTCCTCGTGCTGGTGCTCGAGGCCACCGTGGACAGAGGGGGAGGTCTGGCCTGCTGGCCTGCTGGGGGTGTGGACAGAGGCCAGAAGGGGTCTGAGCCCTGGGGCCCCTGGAGTGGAGAGTTCTGGAAGAAGATGGGGCGCTGGCAGAAGACAGTTGAGACGGGCGACCTGGAGGCCGTGTGGCAGGGTGGGGGGGCCTCGGCCAGGCAGACCCCGGGAGAGGACCGGACGAGGGGAGTGAACCCGGGCACTGGCAGAGAGGGCGGCCGGGCAGGTGGCGTGGGGAGCCCACAGGGTGGGCGCAGGGACAGACTGGCCGCGGCGGCGGCAGCTGGGGTCTGGGGAGGGGTCTGGGGAGGCCACGCTGCCGTTTGCCAGTGGTCGGGCGCCGAGCCCAGCCCGTCGCAGACCTGGAACCAGTGGCTCCTCGCACCTGTCTGTTCAGAGGGACACCGCAGTGTCACAGTTCTTCCCTCTGCAGGTGGAGGGGCCGCCCACGAGGTGACCCCTGAGCCCGGCCTTGAGCCGAGAACCCGCCCGCGTCCCGGAGGCCCGGCCCCTCTTTGGCCGGTGACGGCGGTCAGAGGCGTCCCTGGTCAGTCTGGCTTCGCTGGCCTCTCAGAGGGCCTTTGCAGGCAGCGGGGGCCGGACAGGTGGGGGCGCCTGTGGAGGACTGCAGGCGACGGGGTGGGGGGTGCTGCGTCACAGGTTGGTCGTGGGCGGGTGGTGAGCAGAGGGTGCCTGGGGGGCTGGGAGGGGGAGGGGATGGGAGGGGGGAGCTGGGTGGAGCGGAGGGTCCAGCAATGAGGAGAAATCGGGGGCGGGCGGGGGAATGAGACAGGTCTTCACCGTGCACGGTTCCTCTGAAACGCAGGTGTGCGCCTGCCCGCTGGGCGACCTCCCCTCCCAGGTCGGCCGCCGCGGCCACTGCTCTGGCACCTCTGAGGGGGAGGCAGGCTCTGCTGCGGCGTCACGGAGCAGTTTGGGGACCGGGGCTCGCAGGGGTCCAGCGGCTTTGCCGTGTGCAGAGTCCTCCCTTTCACCTCCCCCCTCGTCACTTTGAAGGGCACCCCCGCGCCCGCCTCTGTGGAGGGGACGGCAGCCAAGTGCTTCTCGCGGACGGCGAGGCCCCCGCGGGGCCGGGGACCGGTGGCTGGGAAGCGGGCCCGGTCCGTGCCGTGAAGGAATGCGCCCCCAGGAGACCGCACTTCCTCCGTTCAGTCACCGCCGGAGTGTGTGACGTGCTGACGCTGCCGGCGAGCTGCGAGTCACCCGCGGAGTCCACCGCCCCTCCTCCCGGGGTTGGGGGGGGGGGTTCTGCGTGCTGCCTGGGCGGTGGTCACGGAAGACTGTTTCTTGTTTTTTTTTTTAACTTTTAACATTTAGTTTTCTCGCATAGTTTGTGCATGAGACATGTGCAAAGGTCGCGCTCACAGAGTTCCAGGCCTAAAAATACACTTGGTCTCGAACCTGTGGGCGGCACAAGAACCGCACGGGGGCGCCCGTGGCAGCGTCACTCACGGTGGCCAGACACGTGGCAGCGACCCGGGCGCGCGGCAGCTGGCCAGTGGGCACTCGGAATGCGGGACGCTGCGGACGGGGACCAGGACTGGAGGGACAGTTCGCCCCACAGCACCACGGGGAGGGGGTGCTGCAGGTGGGAAAGCAGGCAGCTCCTCCTGCACCGGCAGCGCCCGGGCCGGGCCTTTCCTCACGGGCTCCCCGGGGAAGGGGCCCGCGGGCACCGTCCCCTGAGCTGTTCAGAAGGTGTCACCTGTCCCCTCTGGGCCTCCTCTGTGCACAGAGGAGGGGCCGGCGTGACGCTGCACATTGCATGGACAGGGAAGGAGGGCCGTGCCTCAGAGACACAGGACACCCACGCAGGGCGCCCGCCGGCCCGTCCTGGGCTCAGCCTGGCTGGGGGCGTGGGGTGTAAATAAAACGCAATAATCGCACTTTCACTTTTGTTCTTTCCTTGCTAAAACCTCCCCCTTTCCACAGGCTGCGTGGACTCCCATCTGGCGGATCCCACAGCCCGAGAGAATGGTGGGCCAGCCCTGGGGGTGATGTGGGAGTGGAGAGGAGGGAGGCGCCCCGGGAGAAGGGAGCGGGGTCCACCCTCGCTGGGGACCCTGGGGGCAGGCTAGGGACCCTGGGGGCAGGTGTGGGTGTCCCTCTGTGCCAGGGAAAGGCACCTGCAGGCGTGTGGGCCCACCCGTAGTGACTCTGATGGGGGGGCACTGCCGGGACAGGCCTCAGAACCCCCCTGGGGGGAATGACCTCAGGGTGAGTACTTTTGGCCTGAAATGCGATCATCAGGCTTCAAAGGAGCACAGAACCAGGGTCCCGGGGCAGACAGGTTGCAGATAGGATGGGGGAGGGGGAGGGGGATGGGGGTGAGTAGCAGGCGGGCTCGTGGGGACCTGTGAGGGGTTCGTCTCCAGGGGGCAGAATCCCAGGCTGAGGGGAAAGTCTGGGAGAGGGGGGGGCGGGACAACACACGCGGCCCCAAAGCCGGGTCGGCTGGAGGCAGGTCATGTGACGGGGTGGGGTGGGGGGGAATGACGGGACCAAGCCCAGGAGCACAGGCCGGGGGGGGTCGAGAGTGACGTGGACGACGAGGTGAGACACCCCCGTCCCCCGCCCCCAGTAAGATACTCTGCAATTCCTTTGTGCATTCGTTTATTTTTTCGGTGGGGGGTTGGGGGTGTGTCTGTGAATGAATCATGCGTATTTATTGTCATGAATCAGGAAGTGGCAAAGGCAGACATTCCACGAAACGCAGTCTGAGCTCCTTCAGGGACTGACACAGTTTGTGGGTGAGTGTGCTCCGTCCCCCGGCAGGTGCCCGCCCCCGCACCCCTCCCTCACCCCCCCAGGTGCACAGTCGGTGCTGCGAGTCTGCCACAGTTTACATTCTTCCTCTGTGTGTGTGTCCTTCGTGGCGAAGGCTTCACGGCCGGTTTTATCATACAAACATGTTTCTGTGATTTAAAAAAAAATATTCCAGCTATTCTCTCTCTCTCTTTTAAATATTTATTTATTTATTTTCAGAGAGGGAAGGGAGGGAGAAAGAGAGAGAGAAACATCAATGTGCGGTTGCTGAGGGCCGTGGCCTGCAACCCAGGCATGTGCCCTGGCTGGGAATCCAACCTGTGACGCTTTGGTTCGCAGCCCAAGCTCAGTTTCCATGATTTTTGAGAAGCTGCTGCCCCCCAGGGGGCAGGGTGGGTGGGGCCAGCCCCGGGAGCTCTTGAGGAGCGTGGGGCTCACCTGGCCGGCTCCCGAGGGCGTGCCCGCCGGCCGCTCCCTCATCGACGGACTTCTCCCCTTGGCCCTCGGTCCACGACTCTGTCCCCGGGAGGAGCAGCGCGTGGTGAGCGCCCCGCACGTCCCCACGTGGCTGTAACGGGGCGGGGGGGGCGGCACATGGTTGTCCGCCGCCCCGCCCCTGGAGAGCCCGCAGCTCCACGTCCCTGGCGTGGGAACCTGGTGAGGGAAGCCGCCTTCCCAGGCAGGTCCCCGGAGGCCCCGGGGGGCCGTCTGTCCGTCTCTCCTGCGCCTCCCCACGAGGGCCCCCAGTGCGGGGGGACGCCGAGGATCCTTCGGGAAGAGGTGGAGTGCATCGCCAGCACCCACGGGACACCTGCTGGGCGCCGGTGCCCCCATGCGTCCTCCTGCAGAGGCACAGCGTCCTGGTCGTCGCCCTGGGCCTCCCGGGAACAGCCCCGGGGCGGGGGGGGCGGCCCAGAGTGCTGCCCTGCTTCCCCTGCTTCGTCACCCCCACCCCCCCAGCTCCTCCCAGAGCCCAGGACTCGGACACTGGACACTGGGCTTGTGGCAGGGTGTCCCCAGGCACCCGCTGCTGGAGTCCAGGTGTGTCCTCTAACCGTCCTAACGACCGCTGACCCCGTCGCCGCAGGGTGGTCGGCGGGGTAAACGGGGTCCCGGGAGGGAGCGCACGGAGCCCCTCTGCTCCGGGAACCGGCCGCCGCGGGTCCAGCTGGGTGCCCCGTCCCTTCCTCTGTGCCCGGCCCCCAGCCTGGACTCACCCTGTCTGGTTTCTGGGGCCCTTCCCGTCCCAGCCTGGCCGGCGAGGGCAGGGCAGACTCGCTCCAGGCCTGATCCGCTGCCCCTGGTCGTGCACAGCCCGTGAGCAGAGTCGCGGGGACGTCTCTAAATGGTGGAGCAAAACTCAAAGAGGACGCGTCTGTGGCGAGAGCGAGTCACCCGGACTCCGATCGCCGCGAGGAGGGTGGCGTCACGTCGGAACACGGCCCCCGGCGTTCACGCGCACAGGTCACGGCCGCGCCTCCTCACCTGCATGTCACCTGCGGCTGCGCTCAGACGCCGCCTCTGCAGGTGCGCCGCGGCAGTCGCCTCGGTTCGGGGCCGCAGAGCCTGAAACGGCCACTCCCGCGGCTCCTTCCGGGAGAAGTCTGCCCGCCCCCCTCCGGAGGACGGCCGGGCCGGCGACTCCTGGTGCATCGGGGTCCTTGGTCCAGCCCGGCGTTCCTTCACCCCACAGACACACTCCCTGAGCCCCCAGCTCCCCCGTCAGGTGGGCCAGGGGAGCGGCCCGGTCGCCCCCCCACCCCCAGCTGGTGGCGGTGAGTCCAGGGCCCGGGGGCACTGGATCTGCGGTCCCTGAGCTCCGTGTCTCTCCGCCGGGGCCGCCCGCGGCGGCTGCTGGACGGGAGGAAGCCCCGTGGACGCACGCCGGCCCGCAGGCCAGCATCCCCGCGTCGTCTCCATCCGGAGCTCTCCGGGCCCTCAGCGGCCCGGGGGGCTGCGACCCCCACCCGTGCGTGCCCCCCTTGATGCCTCCTCTCGGGCCGTGAGTTCTGCTGCAAACACTCGTTTCCTCTCCCCCCAGGTCGCACTTCCTGCCCCCCTGCCCCGGCCCCTGCTGTCCCGGCTGTGTGAGCACCAGAGGAGGGCGGGGCACCGCGGGGACCCAGACTTTGCAGCGGTGCTGCCGTGCTCTGCCCGTCTGGCCTTTCTCTGCAGCCCCCCCCCCCCGTCCCCCGGAAAGGCAGGTACTCTGGTCCCGGCCTCACCACGGAGAAAGCGGGGCAGGGGCCCCAGGGGACACGGCCGGGCAGCAGCGGCAGACCCTGGGGCCCGAGGGCGGGCAGCTGGGCCCAGAGCTCACGCTCTGCACCCTGGGGAGGTGGGACGGGCCTTCCAGCATCTTCCAGGGCAGGAGAGCAGCTCGGGGACAGGCCTGTGTGACGATGGCACCTGGGGGGCTCCCTCAGGCACAGAGAGACGAGCGGCCATCACTGCCGTCCGGCCCTCGTCCCACACCAATGACCGCTTCTACCGAGGGGTGGGGAGTCCTCCCGGGCCCGCAGGGGGGATGGACCGGATGAGCGGACAGATGCCTGTCCCCTGCCTCTCTCGGGGAGGTGGGTCCTGGCAGCGTCCAAACACCTCGACGCCCAGGGTGTCTCTCCACTCGCACCTCGACCGTCCGGAACGTCAGGGTCCGTGGACCCGGCAGCACCGCCCAGCCGGGTGGGGCCCCGGTGTCCTCGGGACATCAGTCCCGGTCCTGGACAGGAGGGGCGGCCCGAGGGGTGTGGGGACTGGGGACCCGAACAAGGGGGGCGGGACCCTCGGGGAGGGGCGGTGTGCACTGCACTGACAGAAGGGGGCACGGACCACGGGCCGGGTGCCAGGGACCCGGGGGTGAGGCTGCCCTCTGCCCGTCAGTGTACGAGGCCCCGGACGCGTGGACGCGTGGAGGGGGGGTCCGTGTCTCGGGAGGACGGGAAGGGGTCACGCCGCGTTCCCAGCAGCAGGGACGCTGTCGGGAAAGGACAGGAAACCAGTCATGCACACGGACACGGGAGCGGTTTGAGGGCCCTGCAGTCACGCGGCAGCCGTGTCTCGGTCAAAGTCGAACCTTCCTCCCGGGCCACGGCTTCCTGGGTTTCAGTCTGTCCAGCCTTGCCCGGCCCTGTCCTGTCCTGCCCGGCCCTGTCCGCACGGCTCCAGGACCGGGTGAGTCTCAGAACACTGGTGGCCGGTGCTCAGGTGCATGGCGGAGGCGTGTAGAACGGCCCGCTTGGGTCCTGGCCCGCCAGCCTAGGAACCTGGGGCGTCTGCCTGCAGCTTCCAGGAAACAAGGGGTCCGTGTGAGGGGCAGTTTCCTGTCACTCACACACACACACACACACACACACACACACACAACTTCCTCCTTGGTTTTAAAATAGCAGACGGTGGTGTTATTTTTGACTCAGAAATCTATAGGAAACCTAAAACTGTGTGTGTGTGTTTTCTCTGTGAAGAATTTTCCATGATTTTCAGAGACGAGAAGTGAGCTGTTTTTATCATCCCTGCCGGCACACGATGTGCATGTCGTCCACGCGCCCAGGGGCGGGGCCTGACCCCCCCCCCCCGGTGGGGAGGCCGTGTGGACAGGCTGCTGGGTCTGGAGCCTGGAAACCCGCCCCCTGCCTCCCCGAGCGTCCCCACACCCCCCGTCCCGTCCTCCGGGCTGGTCGCCCCCTCCTACCCGCGGCTCTGACCCGCGGCCGGCGGACAGCTCTCACACCTGGAGCGTGCACCTTCGATCGGCGCCTCGGTACCAGCTTGTCCTGAGACACAGGGAAACACCCGGGGCTGTGCCTCCGCTGCCTTCCACGGCGAAAGGGGTTTGTCCTTCACACGTCGGGGAAAGAGATACTCGGCAAAAAGTCTTTCCAGTGTGATTGAGGATGTTAAATAGGGAAGATTTGAAACCTAGCAAGAGAGTTCTTAAAACACACACACACACACACACACACACACACACACACAGCCCCCTGCTGGGGACGGGGTGCTGTTGCTTAAGGAGGAAAAGCCAGGGGCAGGGCCGGGGGCTGGGGGGGTTCTGAGGCTGAGGGTCCCCGAGCCGGGGTCACGAAACCCTGCTCTCGCCCCACCAGCCTTCTTACACCTTTCAGAAAGAAATTTGGTACAATAAGTAGGACAAAGTTCACGTGCCTTTGACCTTCTGGGCGTTGTGTCCAAGTGGGAGCCTCAGGTTCACGGCCTCCCACTGGGCACGGTGACTTCGAGGCCCACCTGCGAGCAGCCCCCCGACCCGCCCCCGGCCCCCAGCACTCCTAACTGCCGAACCGCACTGCGTCCCCTGTACCTGCTCGTCCACGGGCGTTGCGTCCTCTCCACCTCGGCCGCGGGGAATGGCGCCGCTCTGGTCACCTCCGGGCTCTTCCTTCTGTCGTTCCTGTTTTTCGGGGGCAGGGGCTTCGGGGCGCACGCCCGGCCGGGGAACGGCCGAGGAACCCGCGGCTGCTCTGCGCTGGACCTCCAGAGAAACGGCCCGGCTGGCTGCTGTCTTCTCGGTGCTTGTCTAGGAAGGACATTTCTCCAGGACGCGGGGCTCCTCCGAGGCCGGAATCTGTGAGAACGCGGCTGCGAGGACCGGCGAGGACCGGCGAGGACCGCCAGGCCGAGGGTGCGGACTCTCCTGGGGCCGGCGCACGGGCCGGCGCCGAGGGCAGGAGCTCGCAAGAGGATGGCGGCGGTAAGTAGCCTGCACCGTCGCTGTGCACGCCGGCGTCCGCGTTTTCCGGGTCGGCCAGAGGCTCCGCAGCCTCTCCTGTGGTCGGGTTCGATGTGGATTGAGCCGTCTCCTCCCTCTCGCCACAGGAAGCTGTCGCCACCTCAGCTTCGGACCAGGGAGAGAAGACCATCCCACCTGGTCAGTGCAGAAGGTTCTGGAAGGTGCCCACCCTGGCTAGGGACCCCCTGCTGGAACTCCACCTGCCCGGGTCACTGTCCTGTGCTATGACCGCCAGCGTTTCTCGGCGCTCAAACGTGACGCTGCAGGCCGAGTCCACGGGGCGGGGGCGGGGGCAGGGCCAGCAGGCCGGGCTGACCGGGGCGCCACGCAGGTGGCAAGGCCGTGTGTGTGTGTGTGTGTGGGGGGGGGGTCCTCTCAGTTCCCCCCTTTGACTTCTCCACCAGCCGCACCCTGTCCTCAGACACAGGTGCCGAGGGCTCCGCTCTCCAGCCCCGACCCCGGGGTTTGTGTCCCTGCTGTCATCGGCGGCCCTGTGCGCAGCGCGGCCAGCCCCTGAGCAACCCCCAGTCCCGAGCCCCCCGCGGCCACACGCGTGGGCCTTCCCTCTACCCCAGCCCCTCGGCCCCCCTCGGCCCGGGGCCCTGCCTTCCCTGCGTGTGCAGGACAGTCATGCTAATCGCCTCCCTCATTTTCCCAGGTGACGAAAGTGACACATGCTCGTCGTGGAAAACTTGGAAAATACAGAAGAAACTAGAAAACCACCCTCTGCCCCACCTCCCAGGGATGTCCGCCGCTAACACGCACGGCCTCCCCCGTGTGCGTGGGGCTTTCGTCCAATAAAATGGAATGACATTCTTCACGCAGTTTTGTCTTTAAAACTGTTTTTTCTTCCCGTTCTCCCATATATAATCGTCACACAGGGGAGGTGTACTGCACTTGAGCTAACGTACTTGCACTTGGACTTGAGTTGTGAATTGGTTCCCACAATAAGCTCAGTGAACACCCATCATCTCACAAAGAAACGAACGACTTTTTCTTTGTGGTGAGAACTTTCAGGATTCGTTTTCTCCCAGCAGCATTTAAGCAGCCCACACAGCAGTGTGAACCGTAAGCATCACGGGCTAGAAATTGTGTTTCACATCAAACTGTGGATCTTTAGGGCTGTATAACAACACCTCTAATGATCTTTCCGTCTCTGCTGGGCCGCGTGGGTCCCCGCCTTGGGCTGGTGCCCCCCCTGGAAGTGTGGTTTGGGGTTTGGGGCTTCCTGGCGCCGGTCTGCACTCTCGTCCCCGAGCATCGGAAGGAACCAGATTTGTCTGCAAAGCCCTCCCGTCCTCTCCGTTCCCTGTCCCGCTCACGCACAGGTGCACCCCAACCTGCCAGGTGGGAGCGCCCGGTTCCTGGGACAGCTGGCCTTACCCTGCCGTGTGCCCGCAGGGGGTGGCAGACACTGCCCGGGCCCTACGGGGACCTCCGAGCCTGTCACACACCAGAACGTAGGGGCTGAGGCTGCAGCACTTAGTTTATGTTGAACTAACCCCGATTCATTCTCTCTTCTAAAAAACGCACTTTTGTCCTGATTATAAAAGAAACAATCAGGGCTTCCCTTCACGATGGAGGCGTAGGTAGGCACACCTTGCCTCCTTGCACAACCATAAGAAGGGACACAGCCAACTTAGACATAAAAAACACCCAGAATGTCACCCGGGAAAACACCCAGAAGTGTGCAGATGCCCGACAACCACGGATTTAAAGAAGCTGTAGTCACCCAGAAGGGGAGGGGCGCGGAGAGGACTCCGCGGCTGCGGCTGCGGTGGCGAGCTGGGCAGAGAGGTGGGGAAGCAGTGAGGGGGCGGCGGCCGGCGGGTCGGGCAGCCACACGTTGAACACGTGGTGGATAACAATCGGGGGGGGGGGGCACCTCGTGAGCGGGCGAGCCCAGCCGCAGGCCAGGCTGCGCAGCCCAGGGCTCCGGCGCCAGGAAGATGACGACGCATAACTTCTGGCTGTAAGCCCAGGGGGAGCTGCGGGTAGCCTGTGGGTAGCCCGCGGGTGCACATGCCACCCCCCCACCTGGGGAACCACAACCAGGACGGCCGCTGGAGTGGCGCCAGTCACATACGGGAAGTGGGTGAAGTGGCTGGACATGGGTGAGGGCCAGGCCAGCCCCCAGAAGTCAGCCAGCCGCGGCGTGGCCCCCTCTCTGACCCCTGTCCCCCACGCGGAGCCACGGTAGCCCCGCCCTGGCGGACACCCAAAGCTCCCCCCCCGCCCTGAGTTAACAGGTGCGCTAAAACGGAATCGGAGCGGCTCTGCCCAGTGCACAGACCCAGGGAGGCGGCCAGAACTGGGAGACGAAGAAAGGTGGCCCAAACGAAGGGACAGACCCCAGAGCAAGAAGGAAGCGAAGCGGAGACAGCCAGCCTGTCAGAGGCAGCGTTCAGGGCGCTCACGGGGGCGAGGATGCTCATGGTCTCGCCGGTCCGGTCCGGCGGAAGCACGAGGGACGAAGCGAGGGCTCTGCTGAGGGAGACAGAGCGAGAACTCCGCAGGAAACCAACAGTGAAGGGGGGGAAGCCGGGATTCGACTCAGCGATTTGGAACGTAAGGAAGGAATAAACATCCAACCAGGAAAAAAGTGAAGAAACAAGAATTAAAAAAAAAAAAAGACAAGGAGAGTTTAAGAAGACTCTCTGGCACATCTCCAAAACGGCCAACATCCGAATCGTAGGGGTGGTGCCGGAGGAGAAGAGGGAGAGCAAGAAATGGACAACTTATTTGAAGAAATAATGCAAGAGAACTTTCCTTTATCTAATTTGGCAAAGGAAATACACGCACAAGTCAGGACGCTTGGAGAGTGCCGAACAGGTCGGGCCCAAGGAGGTCCACACCAAGTCACATCGTAACCGAAATGCCACAGATTACAGATAGGAGCAAATCTTAGAAGCAGCAAGAGAAAACCAGAGAGTTACCTACGAAGGCGTTCCCATCAGACTGTCAGCTGATTTCTCAAAAGAGACCTTGCAGGCAAGAAGGGGCTGGCAAGAAAACTCAAAGTCATGAAAGGCAAGGACCTACATCCCAGATTGCTCTATCCAGCAAAGCTCTCATTCAGAATGGAAGGGCAGATACAGTCCTTTTCAGACAAGGTCAAGTTAAAGGAGTTCATGATCACCAAGCCCTTATTCTACGAAATGTTAAAGGGGCTTATCTAAGAAAAAGAAGATAAAAACTATGAACAGTAAAATGACAAGAAAATCACAACTCTCAGCAACTAAACCTAAAAAAAAAAACCCCACAAACACAAAGGAAGCAAACGGATAGAACGGGAACAGACTCACACAAGTGGAGACCACGTGGAGGGCGATCAGCGGCGAGGGGGAGGGGGAGAAGTGGGGGAGAGGCGCAGGGACTCAGAAGCATGAGTGTCAGGCACAGAATAGACAGGGGAGGGTGGGAACAGTGTGGGGGAATGGAGAAGCCGGGGAGCTTACATGCACGGCCCACGGACATGAACTAAGGGGGGGACCGCTGCGGGGGGGGGGACCGGGCAGAAGGGGGGGGAACGGAGACAACTATAATAACAAAGCCAACAAAATACACTTAGAAAGAAAAGATAGGTATTCATCATGAAATAACTGGAAAATACGGAAAACCTAAGGAGGACAACTGGAAAAGCCAGCGCCCACCGCCCTGCCGCACAGAGGTGGCGGCGGTCTCCGCTGGGCTGTGTTCCTCCTCCTTCCACACGCGGTGCCCGGCGGAAGCAGCGCCCGCGTGAGTGCGGCAGGCGGGCTCGTCCCGCGGGTGGGGCCGTGTTCAGTTTTCGTCTGAACGTCTCACCTGCGGGGAGGTCGCACGGCGTGTGGGAGCGTGATGCTGGCAGTCACGGACCGGCAGGCGTCTCCCCTGCGGCGTACCCGCGGGCCCGGAGCGGTGGCGGTCCCCATGCGGGCGGTGTCTGGGCGCCGGAGAGGGAGGGGGCTCGGGAGACACTGGGGCCGCAGGCTCCTTCCGGCGCTTTCCGCAGGGTGCACCTCACTGGGCGGCGCGCGGGGGCGGTCCCAGGAGCGGTTCCACTCGGGAAGGTCTGTCCGGCTTAAAACCGCATGGAGCCTGCGGCCGGGGACCTTCCTCGCGGTAGAACCGAAGGCAGCAGTTCCCTAAAACCCGACGAGCCCCCCAACAAGTCGGCGCGCTCGCCCCTCACGGGGGCCACGTGCGAGGCTGTAAATGCTGCTCGAGACTGCAACCTGGTCAGGGCCGCTTCCTTGTCCGTGTCGTGACCCGGGAGCCTCGCCGCACCCCGAAACGCTGGTGGCCGCTCCCCGTCAGCACGGGTGTTCCGGGGCCGCGTGGCTCGGGACCAGAGGTGACGTTGCACCCCCCCCCCCGAGAGTCGGTGAGCTCCGGCTGACTGCGGCACACGGCACACATTTCGGGTGCACAGTCCCCGCCCCCAGCGTGGTTTTGGCGGTAAATATGGGGCGAGCGAACGCATTTCCTGACCACCCACACTCAGGCGCCGGGCCGCTCGGGGGCACCGGGCCACTCAGTGGGGACGCCGCGTCCCCTGGCTGTCTGCGGCCGTGGACACGTGGCCCCGCGCCCCGAGTGGGTGGTGGCTCTCCCCCGGGCCGGCGCCACCGCCGCCGCGCCCCCTCGCTCCCGGGCGTGGCCGGCTCGCTTCTGCATCCGGTTGGCGGGCGCGCGGGTGCCCGGATGCACCCGCAGTGTCGGGCGGGGGGCCGCCTGCGGTCTCGATGACCGAGGGGCGCGGGCGCCCCGGCCCCGTGCCGGCGGGGTCCCCGGTAAGTGACACGTCTCCCCGAGTCCTGCGAGCCGCTCCGTCCATTTCTACGCCTCTGGGCGCCAGCGCCCCCCGTCCGGGCCCACCGGTGACGACACCCGGGCAGGCCACAGGCGCCGGAAGTGCAGGCCGTGCAGGCGGACACAGCCCTCCCTCGTGGGACCCGTGCACCTGCAGGTAGGTGGCGTCACCCCTGAGTGGACGGGGGGCCCACGCAGTCGTTTCCCCGCCACGTAGCCACGGCGGCCAGTCCACGGCGGGGGCCCCTGTCCGGTGGACACTCGCTACAGGCAGCCCTGCCCGGGCCCCGCCCTGTGGTCAGAAGTGGGTGCGGGGGTGGGGCAGGAGGGGCTCCCGGTGGCGGGCCCCCTTCAGGGTCCCTGGCCACAGTGGCGACGGTCGAGTTCCGGGCGGGGTCGGGGGGGCTGGCCCCCCGGCTCCAACCTTGGCGAAGCCAGCCGGCCACGTTCCGTGCCCCGGCTGCGTGGTTAGAATAAGGTTGGACTCTCCACCTGGGCCGGGCCCCTGGGGCCCATGGGACCCGGTGTCAGGTGACCAAGCGCCGAGCCAGCCGGACCGCGGGCCCTTCCGGGCAGGGCGGGCGGGGCAGGGCGCCAGCTCGGACGCAGCCGTCCCGAGGTGGCCGCGGGCTCTGCTTGTCCACTGGAGACGCGGTGTCCCCGCGTGGTTTTTACCCTCTCCCCCAAAGTGTCAGGTCTGCAGTGTCACCACGGGGTGGCCCTGGCTGGCAGGTGCCTCTCAGACTCGCGTGGGAAGCCCCGGGGAGGGCCACCCTCCCCGGAGACAGGCTGTCGCCCCGGACGGGGGCTCGGGAGACGCCCTGGGACAGCCGGCGGGGGACGTGTGTGCGGCCAGCAGGGGCTCTGACGGCCCACGCCCGCGTTCACGACCGGACGGCCGCGGGCGTGGACTCACCTCAGCCGCTTCTGACGCGGGTGCCGGGCGTGTGCGCCCGGGGGCAGGGGTGGCGGGGCTCCCGGACGGGGCACCAGGTCTGGCCCCGGTGAGCGGGAGCGGGGG